TTGAACCTCCGACTCTGACACACAGTCAGTCGGGTGCTTTTCCTTACATTCGCCACCTCAACAGCTGCGTTACCAGTACTTACACCTGGTTTCCTCATCCCCTTAAATGAACACTGCTCCCGACTCCTCACTGCCCCAGCCCATTTCCGCTCCCCGCCCAGAACTTGCCAGATGCCTGCGCAATTGGGGGGGGGGGGGGGGGGCAGATGACGGCCCTCCCACCCCACAGGGCATTCTAGGTGGAGGAGACAGGTGAGGGCGCTATTTCAGTTCAATGTCCCTGTGCTCACGGGGTGCTGCAGGGGCACAGGGTGGGCTGGGCAGCAGTGGAGAAAGGGGTCCCAGTGCCTACTGTGACCCATCCCTCCTTAGGCCTGGCAGTTGCCATCATGAATGCCTGCCCTGCCCTGTGCCCGGTGCTCTTTGCCCTCGGCCTGGTAAGGGGGCCTCTGTAACCAGGAACACAAGTCAAGACAACTGGGGCACTGCCAGGCCAGTGTGGCTCAGTGGTTGAGCATTGACCTATGAACCAGGAGGTCAGGGTTTGATTCCTGGTCAGGGCACAAGTCCCAATTGTGGCTCCATCCCCAGTAGAGGGCGTGCAAGAGGCAGCCGATCCATGATTCTCTCTCATCATTGATGTTTCTCTCTCCCTCTCCCTCCCTCTCTCTGAAATCAACGAAAATACATATATTTTTTTAAAGAACATTAGGGCACTATCTCAGCACCAGAGTAACCAGGGGTGCAGAGGACACACCAGCCCCTCCCGCCCCCGGGGCAGCACAGAGCCACGCCCACAGCTGTGCTGTGACTGAGCCACCCGTGCTCCCTGACAGTGTGGAACCTGTCCTTGTCCAGGACAGCCGGCCGGGCCTGGGGGACCGGGAAGTACTCAGCCATCAACAGCCCCGCACCCTTCCGGCAGCAGGCCTACCGGCTCCTCTGTCGCCTGTCGTGGGAGCTGGCCCCAGACACCCCTCCTGCCGGAGCAGTGGCCAAACCGGGGCAGCTGGGGCGGCTCCGCCAGGCCCTTCCTGGCCATCTTGTCCCTCTGTCCTCATGGCGGACCATCGTCCATCCCCTCACGTAAGGGATGGGGCTGAGTCCTTCCACCCATGTCCAAAGGGAAGTCCAGCCCGAGGGGCCTGGGACGGAGCGAGCACGGCCAGGCCAGGGGAGCCCCCCTGGGACCCCCAGCCGGGGCGGGGCCCAGCCTCTGAGGGAGGTCCTGGGGGCTGTGAACAAGGAGTCAGAGACTGCAGCACAGAGAGGGCAGAGCTGAGCCACGCCCCACACGGGGACCTACCCACCCTTCCTGGGGGCCGCCACCCTGGGGAGCCTGTGGACCCTGAGCAAGACGCTGAGGGGCCGTGTGCTGGCCCACAGCCACGCGACGCGGGCTCCCAGGCCACCGGGCAGGGCAGCAGCACCAGCCAGGCATGAGGGCTCCCAGGCCACCGGGCAGGGCAGCAGTGCCAGCCAGGCGTGTGGGCCTCACACTCTGCCTGCCCCCGCAGGAGCCGCCTGCCAGCCGTGCCTGAGAGACGCCTTGCTGATGCCCAACAGCACCCTGCGGCGCGCTCCAGAGGCGGCCTGCCCACAGCCACGCGGGCAGTGCCCAGCTAGAGGCAGACTCGGCGCCGCCGGAGCCCGAGCAGACCAGCGCCCACGCTTCCGGAGAGTCCAGGCACATCCCTTCCTGCCAGCACCCAGCCCGGGCGCAGGCGGGCGGCACTGGGGGGAACGCCCTGTAGACCCGCGGCCAGGGGCCACCTCCCTCCCGTGGGGGGTGCCGGGTGCTCGGAGCCTCGTGCTCGGGGCCCTGCCTCGGGAGGGGGCGCCCCAGACGGACAGTGAGTGACCAGATCGAAGCCGAGGCGACGAGCTCCCGCTTCCTGTCCGGTGACTGACAGCCGCCCGCAGAGCGGTGCCTGCGACGCCCTCGGCCAGGGCAGTGGACGTGTCTGAATCAGAGGCCAGGCCTCCGGGTCCCACGGGAAGGAGCTGGGAACAGCTGGGCCGAATGAAGCCACCCTGCAGGCTCCCGGCGGAGGCAGCTCTTCCTCCCGGGAGACAGATCTCCAGGCTGTGGCTCCTCAGCGCCTCCCACCCTGGCCGTGGGGCCTGGGCAATTTCAGTTTCAATGAGTTAAGATGAAGTAAATTTAAAAACCAGTTCGTCACATTTTTCAAGTGCTGAAGAGCCCCCCTGTGCCTGGAGGCTACCCTACGGGCCTTTCCATCTTCCAGAACCTTCCATGGCACAGCTGCTCTGGACTCTCCCGGACTCCCCTGACGCACAGCCAGTTTCCCTCCTCCTTCTCCAGGGACCAGGCTGCCTCCCCTCTCCTCTCTCTCCCTCCCAAGGCCCCGGCCGCACACGCAGTCCTCCTTCTTTATCTGAGCGATACTCCTGTGCATGTGTGTGCATGTGTGTGCGTGTGTGTTCACCCAGTCGTCACTGACGGACACTCAGGGGGCCTCCACACCTCGGCCTCTATGAATAATGCTAAGAACAAGCGGTGTAGCGATCTCTCTCGGATCATGTCCTTTCCTTTGGATAAACAAATCCAGCAAAGGTCAATGTGCAAACCCAGTTCCCATGCACTAACAACGGGCTGTGGAAGAGGAGCTGAGAACACAACCCCATTTACAAATGCATCACAAACTGTGAAACGCTCAGGGCATGTTTACAAAGAGACCAAGCACACAGGGAACGGCTGACGGGGAAGAGAAGCAAGAGTCAGGGAGGAAGAACATGGAACCGGAGCAGGGAGACTGGAGGGAGCAGCTGGGACAGGAGCAGGGAGACTGGAGGGAGCAGCTGGGACAGGAGCAGGGAGACCAGGAGGAGCAGCTGGGACAGGAGCAGGGAGACCAGGAGGAGCAGCTGGGACAGGAGCAGGGAGACTGGAGGGAGCAGCTGGGACAGGAGCAGGGAGACCAGGAGGAGCAGCTGGGACAGGAGCAGGGAGACCTGGATGGGTCCTCAGCCTCCATAGGGCGGCCGGGCCATGTGGAGGCCTGGAAACCATCTCCTGCAGCTGAGGCCCTGGAGCTGGACGGCCCACTCTGTGTCCCCCCGCCCCGCCCCTGCAGCCACACCAGGACCACTTCTGGGGCAGGTCATGCACGGCCCAGGGAGCAGGGGCCACCTCCCTGCTTTTGGGCCATTCCTGGTAGTTTGTGCACTTTCGTGCCATTTTCATGCTGTGATAACGCACCTCGTTCACTTCTGTGCCGCTACCTCGTCTGGGGCTGGGACTTATCCATATGTCTGATGCTTATCCAGGACCCTGGGCACGCCCCCGGGTGCCTGCAGGGGCCCAGCTAAGAACCCTGGGCCAGGGCAGTGCTCGCCGAGCCCATCCTCTGAGTACTATGTCCTTTCATTGCCAAAGACGCAATACAATTTCATGGTCCGCGGGCCTGTAACATAAAATACCCCGATTTTTAAGATAGGAGAGGGTTTATGACCAGGGGACATCCGTTCAGGAACGAGTCCATGGTACAAATGAGTCAACTCATGACAACATTTAATTTCAGGAAAATTAACTCCATCAAGAAGCCCCGCCAGCACGTAAATGTGAACGCCTGTTAGGTGTCTCAGCGAGCAGTGAGGGGCCTGGACACACAGTCCATTCTCTGGCTCCTCCAAGCGCGATGCACTTCATACCCAATTGGCCGTAATGGACAGCGCTCCAGGCGCTCGGCGCTCCGCGAGGGCAGGGCGGGAGCGGGCCCATGGCAGACAGGCCGTGGTTACGGGAGATTAAGTTGTTCCCAAGGCCTGGCCAGCAGCACAGGCCTGAGAAAAGGCTGTATGTCCCAACAAACGTCAGTGCCCAGAGAGGCTGCGGCTGCCGAGAACCCAGAAACTCCAGCCAAGTCGGTCGGAGGCCATCTCCTGACGCGAGGATGTCCGCAGCGAGCAGCCTCTGCGTAAAACGGGCGCGGGAGGCCAGCCGTGTGTGAGGCACACAGGGCCGGCGGGTGAAGTAGACTCGTGAAACAAGCGCGGAGGTGGCTCTGCGGCCAG